ACAGGGGGTGACAGCCCCGAGGGTCCCCAACCCGCTGGGCCGCTCTTGGGGCAGGGGGGATGCTCTGGGGACAGCGGGGACAGCCCAGGGACAGCGGGGATGCACTGGGGACACTGGGGACAGCCAGGATGCAGTGGGGACAGCAGAGACACCCTGGGGACAGCTGGGATGCAGTGGGGACACTGGGGACTGCCGGGATGCTCTGGGGACACTGGGGACAGGTCAGGATGCACTGGGGACATGGGGACACCCTGGGGACAGCCAGGATGCGCTGCGGACAGTGGGGACAGCCAGGATGCAGTGGGGACAGTGGGGACAGCTGGTATGCACTGGGGACACCGGGGACACACTGGGGACAGCCGGGATGCGCTGGAGAAACAGCCTTGGGGTAGCAGGGACACTTCGGGGACAGCTGGGACTCACCAGGGACACTGGGGACAGCCAGGACGCAGTGGTGACACTGGGGACCAGCGGGCGGGATGGAGGACAGTGGGGGACAGCCCAGGGACAGCCGGGATGCACTGGGGACACTGGGGGGGACACCAGGGACATGCCAGCATGCAGTGGGGACAGTGGGGACAGCCAGGACGCAGTAGGAACACTGGGGACAGCCGGGATGCAGTGGGGACACTGGGGGACACCAGGGACACACCAGGACACAGTGGGGACAGCCAGGGACATGCCAGCATGCAGTTGGGGACAGTGGGGGGGACACCAGGACGCAGTGGGGACAGTGGGGACAGCCAGGGACATGCCAGCATGCAGTTGGGGACACCAGGGACACACCAGGACGCAGTGGGGACACTGGGGAATACTGGGGACAGCCGGGCTGCGCTGGGGACACTGGGGACCCCCCAGGGACAGCCAGGGGGGAGGGGGGGGAGAGCCCGGGTGTCCCGGGGGACGGCGGGGACAGCGCGGGGACGGGCGGGACGCGGCGCTCGGGAGCCCCAGGGCCACCCGAAGTGACGCCTCGTTCAGCGGAGCAGCTCCAAACGCCCGTGGTATTTTTGTGTTTCAACAAATTTCAGAGGGTTTTAAGCACGTGGGCTTAACAGGCATGCAGGACATTCCAATAATCTGGGGATTAAAATCCTCCTGTATTCCTCACGGGAGAGGAGAGGGGGGGAAAAAAAAATCCTATTTTTGAACAGCCCATAAATACGGATTTAGCTGCGAGCACAGCCCTGCCAAAGGAGCGGTCCGCGACCCTGCGGAAGCAAACCCCTCCCAAACCTTTCGCGTTCCTGCGCATTTTCCAAGAGACTCTCCCTCCTTCCCCAGGCCGGCGAGAACAAAACCCACCCTACGCAATCCGGGCTGCGGAGGCAGCGCTTCACGCGACGTCCACGCGAGCCCCGCACCGGGTCTGCCGCCCCGCAGCAGCAGCATTCTGGGGAAGCTTTTCTGCAGGACGCGCTGCGCACGCCCCACGGCCCAAAGCACGCTGCCCAACTCACATCGCTGAACTCCAGGGGCAAGCTCTCCGTGGGCTGGAGCTCAGCCGCGCTCAGGTACAGCTCCGTGGGGGCAGCTTCCAGCTCCTCGGGGACGGCCAGCGCCTGCTCGGGTACGTACATCTGCGGGGGCAAGCGGAGGTGGAGCGGGCAGCACGGATCCTCGGAGAGGCTGACGGCGACCGGCTTGTTGCAGGGCACTTCCTCGGAGCCTTGACAGGGTTTAAACAGCGTCTGGTTCGTGTCCTGGCAGATGTCTGGGAAGATGTGGTCAAGGGAAAGCTGCACAGCGGACAAGCGACCCGCAGACGCATCCAGAGGCACAGCTGCTCCCCGCTCACCCACCA